CCCTAGTGGGGTCTAAGACAACGTTATCAAGAAGTGCAAGAAGGCTCGAAATACAGTCGAAGTCTGAGTCCCTCAAATCCCTTCTTAGACCCAAGTTCCACCCAATCCCAGAAGTTGAAGACCCTTGGGTTACTTTCATTCCACCAATCTTTTACTTTCCCAACAAAACCCGGGTGGTAAAGCCACATGTTATTAAATCTGAAAGGAGTTGGGCCCCAGCTAAACATCCCTTCTTTATTGATGGAGATAGGCCAATGGTAAGAATTTAATCTAGGAAAAACTATGGAAATTAGATCTCCCCAATGTTCCTCCCAATCAGCAGTGAACAAGAACCTATCCAACTTGGAGCAAATAGGATTTGCCTAAAGATTAGACCAAGTAAAATTATTGTGCAAGAGAGGCAACTCCTTTAACTCAAAGGTATTAATGAACTCATTAAACATCCTCATGCTTGCAGCATTTCTTTGCCTCAGCTTATTTGTCTCCCCAACAAATCTAATCACATTGAAATCACCACCAAATACACCACAGTCCACCCCAAAGCCCCTAATGTCTCCCAATTCCTCCCACAAGCCTTCTCTTTCTCTATACCCATTGAGGCCATAGACATTTGTCAAGACCCATTCGAACCCATGACCTCATCCTTCCCGGGAGAAACTAAGCCTCCCGAGGAACCCCAAGATGGACTCATGGCCCAACTAATTCCCCTAGCCTTCCACACACTTCTAGCCCACTTGATGTCAAAACTTGTTAGTTTAGACTCCTAAAGAAGCACTAAATCCAGATTTTCTTTCCTCAACACTTCCTTTATTCAAGATCTCTTTCTTGCACTCCCCAAACCTCTAACATTCCAACTTATCAATTTCATGCTTGCCTAAAGCATCCCACCCCTATTAGTTGACCTCTAATTACTTCCTCTTCTCCCCCCTTTCCTCTTATTGAATTCCTTGTCTCCTTCCACATCAAGACGCAATCTCTCAGCCTCACTCAACTTCCACTTTTTTTGAAGAATCAAATAAAAAATAATTAAAAAAAAGATAAAGTACAGCAGGAGGTGGTAAGATATCACCAGCAGCAAGAAACATCCTCAAAAAACCCAAAAAAAAAAGATCCCAATAAAACCACACCTTGTAAATAAGAGATTACCCAAACTACACTGAAAAAGGTCGAGGGACACATTAATAAAACCCTAAAAAATCTAGAAGCCACCCCTCAACTCTAATAAAAGCAAGAACCCTTCCAGATGCCACATCAGTCTTCATCTGTAAACACTCCAACTGTGGCCTCTCTATCCACCATTTTTTGTATATCTACCTTACCTGAAATTACATCAACAACATCATTTTCTTGCCTTAGCCATAACAAACCAAATTCAGGGTCGACATCGTTCACCTTGCTTTCTTGTTGTTCTTTTAACGAAAGGGGGTCCCATGGCTAAGCTTGCACTGTTACCTCCCTACGATCAGTACCAATTTCCCATTACCTCACACCCTTTTCCTTCTGTAAACCCATTTATATTTTTTTGTAGGTCCTGTCCCTGCCAAGCCGAGCTTTACTCTTGAAAAGATCTTTGTCGCATGCATGATATTGTGAGTTCTTGCATTTCGTGATTTCTTGCTGATTAACCCACTAGGTTGATCCTTCTCCTTCTCTTCCGCTATGCTCCCTCAACCCAGATCAACACCCAGCCTTCCAATCTCAACCTCCTCAAAAATCATGCCATCTTCGACCTGATTTTCAATCTGTCCATCAGAGGACTCAACATCATCTGTGTCTTCCTTTCAAATCTCAACTTCCTTTTCCAGAACTGTCACCTTCCTCTCTTCTAGCTTCTCGATTTCAACAGAGTCCAGATCTTTCAAACTCAGTGAGATTGGATAACCCAAATCGTATCTATCCTCTACAAGCTTCATATTCATGACCCCTAGATCAGAGTGAACATCAATCCCGCCAAATC